TACACTGTAAGGTATATACACCACAGTGTGTAAACTGTAAGGTATATACACCACAGTGTGTACACTGTAAGGTATATACACCAAAGTGTGTACACTGTCAGGTATATACACCACAGTGTGTACACTGTAAGGTATATACACCAAAGTGTGTACACCGTAAGGTATATACACCAAAGTGTGTACACTGTAAGGTATATACACCACAGTGTGTACACTGTAAGGTTTATACACCACAGTGTGTACACTGTAAGGTATATACACCACAGTGTGTACACTGTAAGGTATATACACCACAGTGTGTACACTGTAAGGAATATACACCACAGTGTGTACACTGTAAGGTATATACACTACAGTGTGTACACTGTAAGGTATATACACCAAAGTGTGTACACTGTAAGGTATATACACCACAGTGTGTAAACTGTAAGGTATATACCCACAGTGTGTACACGGTAAGGTTTAAGTGCCACAGTGTGTAAACTGAAAGGCATATGCACTAAAATGGACGTTTGAGTGTTACTTAGCAAGAACAGTGACCTGCATCGGATGAAAATAGATACTTAATGCATTGCGAGTGAGATTCGATTCACATTGAATTAAAATCTTAACTTGTAGACTTACCCACGAATTGAGTGTGGTTCATTTCACAGCAAAACAAAATCCTCCCACAAAATGCGTTTCTGGTACACAAAATAGAAAAGTGTGTTATAATATAGAATGCAATCAGCTTGTTAACACCTGTTATTAAGTTCATTCTAAACACTGTCACGGAAACTATCATTTTATAACACGATCCACATTCATAAAACATATAATTATGGAAAGAAAGTTGCATGTCCACACCTCCCAATGTTTATTGTGTTCACCATGAATAACTTTGACAACTAATCCTGAAATATTGAAAGTACTGAAACTAACCTGTACTTGATAGGAACTAATATTGTGATTGTAATATTCAGTCAAGGTCTGTGGAAATTCAACTTTAAGTCTAATCTCGCAACATATTTAGCAATTAAATAACAATTATAACAAAAAACATCAAACAGATGGGTAGTGCAAACAATATAAAGAATGACAGTTTCCCTTTTAAAAAAAAAAAAATTGGATCTGTTGTGAAATTGACTATACTGTATACCATGAACAACACATACATACATACATACATACACACTGTCGCATACGACTTATTTACCACTTCCGTGTCACTGAGAATGTTCTAGAACCGTACTGTTATGTGTCTGGGTGGAATATTCTAGATTTTTTTTAGAAAATGGTTGAATAGGTAATAAGAACACTGTAGGAGGCAATAGAAGGTAATGGAACATTCTAGAAATTAGTAGTAAGTTCCAGACTCATTATGTATGCTGATGTAATGGTCTATTTATAGACAGTGGGGTATATATAGGGAAGTTGTTCAGCACTGAGTTCAGATCGGAGATCTCGTTGAATTGTATTGGAGTTTAAGTATCTAGTTATTGGAGTAGTGGAGTTTTACCGCGTTATTGTACTTGATGTTTGCAGAGTATAATAATACCAGTACCAGTTGAAACCTCATCTGTTGGCTCCGTGTTCGTATTTTATCATCGCCGCCAGGGAAGTCTTTTTGTTACTGTTGCCATTTTGGTATTTGAACCATCACACCTGTACTATACCAATTACGGTAATATTACGTTGCGTGTGACATCTGGGGGCTCGTCCGCGAAGTCTTTTTGTTACTGTTGCCATTTTGGTATTTGAACCATCACACCTGTACTATACCAATTACGGTAATATTACGTTGCGTGTGACACACACTTCTAGTTATAATAGCCCCCTACGCAGTGGCGGATATAGGGGGGTGTTCTTGGAGTCCGGAACCCCCCCCCCACCATTGAAAAATGTATTCAATTTGTTTTTGCATAATATGGAAATCATTAACTTAGTCTGGCGATTTTTAAGTTTGGACCCCCCCCTCCTAAAAAAATATGTATCCGCCCCTGCTGTGGTACAACAGTCAACAATTAATGAAACCACGTGACGTGACGTTCACATAATAAAATAATATGACAACGTGAGTGTCAGAATACATGGATTACAAAATACAGCACATCATAAACATTTCATTTCGTGAACATACAGCGAGAAACGACTGCACGTATCTGCCATTGATTTATCATGATAACATCAGGGTGGAATGGAGTGGCTAGTTGATTTACCACTGTGTGCTAACACATTCAGTTATACCAAATAGGCTGTAAATTACTTGCATCTTTGGATTGGATAAAAGCAATTAAAACATAAAATTAGTATGGTGTTCACATATATATCCTCGGGCATTTATTCTTTAAAAACAAAACTCGCACCCGTTGGTGCCGAAGGTCATTATTCATCCACTTAGTGCAGATCAATATGTATATTTCAGTAGCTCTGTCGTAATATATATGCAATTATTGTAATAAATGCAATTATCGTAATATTTATGCAATTATTGTAATACATATGCAATTATCATAGTATATATGCATGTATTGCAGTATATATGCAATTATTGTAGTACATCTGCAATTATCGTAGCATATATGCACGTATTGCAGTATATATACAATTATCGTAGTATATATGCAATTATTGAAATACATCTGCAATTATCGTAGTATATATGCATGTATTGCAGTATATATACAATTATCGTAGTATATATGCAATTATTGTAATACATTTGCAATTATCGTAGTATATATGCATGTATTGCGGTATATATACAATTATCGTAGTATATATGCATGTATTGCGGTATATATACAATTATCGTAGTATATATGCAATTATTGTAATACATATGCAATTATCGTTGTATATATGCAATTATTGGAATACATATACAATTATCGTAGTATATATGCATTTATTGCAGTATATATACAAATATTGTAATATATGTATTTATCGTAGTATATATATACAATTATTGTAGTATATATGTAATAATTCAAGTGTTCATTGAATCATAACGAAGTGAAAACCTGATTACTGACACACTAATCTCGGTAATCCCAAGATGCACCAGCAAAAGTGGGTTCGACTTATTTTGCCCACTTTTAATGGGTTTGCTAAATGCATGAGACTTTTTCTCGATGAATATACAGAATAAAATTGAAAGTGTTTTTAGCATGCACTTTATATAGATTACATATCATCTTTTATTGATTGTGCGGAATATAATGTTCACACATACTGTTGCTGTATTTTGACCGAGGTTCGAACGTGATAACATTTCCCTTTATACCGAGTAGGAACTCTCTGGGCACACACTTAAATAACTGCCTTTATTCTGTTTCATATTTAGCTTACAAGAGAAACGCTTCTATAATTTAATGTACATATATACCAATGATCAACACTATTTATCCACGCAATGAGTCTAGCTCCAAATCGCTGCGCAAACTGTATATAATATAACTAACAAATCAATATAGCATAGCATATGACAACAAAGACATTTTAACTACAGCTGCCGGCACTCAATATATATATATATTACTTCTACTATCTCTCACAATCCAGGAATTCTAAAAATATATATATATTATGTGTTCAACAAAAGCAAAACTGATAAAAATGGCAGTGTAATCAACCAGACAAAAGTCTGTTCTCTATAACTGATTAATATAATCCTTACAGTTTCTATGGCTCACGATTCTGATAATATTTTCATTGGCAGAGCCAAGCTCATAGGTAAAGCAATACTGTGAGTTTCCAATGAAAAGGTGATTTTATTTTCTGGTCATATTGATCGAACCTCAGCAATTTGTATGGAGATGCACGTCAGCATAGTATTTGGTTGAATGGGGTGGTGGCAGTTTGTCACACTATATGAACCCGCTCTAAATTTATGCTCTTGTATAAGACAATTATGTTGTTGTATAATGCACCTGAGCAAGACAATTAAGTGGTTGTATAATACCCACCACTAAGACAAATATGTGGTTCTATAATGACCCTAATTATACATCTGTCACCGTAACGCCGTAAGTTACAGCGTGCCGTATTTTTGCGGTATTTACTGGTATTTTCATCCTACTATATTAGGAAATGTGAATTCCAAATATGGAATGATTACGCGCGTAAGCGTCTTCTAATAATAAAAACAAAACTTGGCTGCCACCAGGGTTTGACCGGACTCCCCACAAAGAAGTTCGCTACAATTATATGGTTATATAATAATTATGTGGTCAAAACTTTTTGGATTTCGGCATTCCCATGATGCATCCTTGAAAGGAAAAGATGTATAATAATCGGGTTATTACGAAGATCTCAACACTCAGACAGTACGCCGTCGCACCGATACTCGATATTCCCGCTGTACTCTCTTCGTGCATACTCTAAGGTATCCTCGTGATAACCTCATATTATTAATTAATACAATTACATTATAATTATCGTATAATGCACCTGACCAAGACAATTATGTGGTTGGTTAATATACACCACTAAGACAAATATATGGTTCTATAATAACCCTTATTAATACAATTATATGGTTGTATAATGTCCCCTCATAGGACAATGATGCCCGTCGCCCTGACAATTATGTGGTCACTATGGCAATTAGTGGAAATAACGAACAGAACTAGAGTGGCAAAAAGGGTCCTATTGATGCCAATAACTCAGGATGTTGCCATGGAGATTTAGAGAGTGATAATGACGGGAGTTCTCCACGTTGCCCTGAGGTATATATATAATCACGTTAATTCTGATTAAATATTTATCAAGTATTCACATGTTAATATTTGTTCTTTTATTACAGTGACCACGTAACGTGTTTGTAATTGTGACATCACTGTGCATTTTCTCAACGTGTCAATAACGTCCATCGTTCAAAGGATGTCAAGTAGTTGGATGGTGTAAAGTAAAGGCCACTTCACACTGAGTAAACAATTCGCCGCCGTGTACGGTGTATGGCTAGATATCTAAGTCAGTCTGCATGGTGAAATTCTAGTTCATTGTGTATCCCTAATATGGGAAATGATAGCGAGGTGACGGGAGAATACCATACTGATTTGTCTGTATTATATGCCACTATTATGATCGTTATAAACTTTACGACGCTGTTTGGAAATTGCGTGCTGCTGTACATCATCATACGGACTCGACAACTACATACAATTACTAACGTATTTATCGGATCATTAGCAGTCGGTGATTTGATTATGGGGATATTGGTGATGCCATACTGTGCCTTCTATTGGATCGCACAGGAGTGGGTATTTGGTGATCAATGGTGCCAAGCCACTGCGTTTTTTCACTCAATGTCATGTACGTCCACTGCACTGAATTTGGCGATGGTTAGCGTGGATCGCTGTTTCGCAGTCACCAGACCATTGCGGTACAACGTTATAATGACAAGCTATAGTACTGCCACCATGGTGATATACGTGTGGATACATGCCATCTTATTTGCAGCTTTACCTCTGTTTGGTTGGGGATCTTATCGATTTTCTTACAAACTTGGAATTTGTGCAATCGACTATATGTCTGATTCCACGTTTATTTTAACGGAACGAGTAATGTGTACTTTACTGCCAGCATTAGTGATAACTATTATGTTTATAGAGATATTGAAAGAAGCGCACGCCAGACAGAGACGTGTATTCGTGGCTCTACCAGTACCTTGGCCAATCAATGCTCAGGGACAACCAACACCAAATTATAAAAGAACAACAATACGGGCAATGCGAACTCTTTTTGTTATGGTTGCCGTGCTTACTATATTGTGCCTGCCCTACCATATTATATATTTTCTATGTGTCTACACGCCAGGCTACCTACCGACCGACATCGAAAGTATTGCATCTATCTCCATGTTAGCTAGTTCAGCGATCAACCCAATATTAATAACCATTTTGAATAAAACATTCTATTCACGGTTTAAAGATATAATGTGTAGACGTTGCACGAAACTCTCAGCGGTTGTCGACGTGTCAACGATAGAGGGCAGTGTGGCAGTAGCGCCCACTTGTCACACGCAAAGTACATACATACGATCGGAGGCAACTGGGAGTGTTGCTGGGGGGCCGAGCTTCATCTCTCCGGAACTCTCATCTGCTGTCCTGGAATCAGAATCAAAGTACATGAATGAACAGAGTACGAGTAAAGGAAATAAAACTATTTCTGACGTAGAGGAAAATATTGACGATAGACAACGAGGAACAGACAAGAAGCGGAAAAACAAACATAAACAAAATGACGCAAGTGGCATGTCATCGCAAATGAATCCTAACCTATTGATGCCTCCTGACATGACACACACGTTTCGTGCTACTCGTAAAAAAGTTCGAGAACATTAATATTATAATTATTTTACGTTAAATGTTACGTTTATACTGCTAATAAATAATACGCTACAAATCTGGTTATTTTTACTTATGGTAAGATCGTTTTTAAGTGACAATTTAATGAGAAGCGTTTGAGATATGGGTTTTTAAGTGCATTACTTTGATATTATCGATTTGTTTAGTTCTTTCAAACATTCGTATTCAGTGGAGCTGTATGAAACTAGCAGGCCTTGATCCTGTCAAAATTAAAACTAGTGCTTGGGGAGGCATAGTTGGCCAATATGACGTCATACTGACGTGTCATACTATCATTACTGTCGAACACGCTGAAAGGAAAAACAAAACGCACATATGTTGGGTACATTTTTTGAAATATATTGTTGCCAAGCTGTTGGCTAATAAATCGTTATATTGCAATCATATATACACGATACATGTATATGAAGAAAGTCACGGTACCCTTAGACCTGCATATACAGCCCCTTGTTTATTTATTTTTTTGAGTTTTTTAAAATAAAAAAAAATAAAATATTATGTGAGTGTATAGTCCATTGTTTGACAGAGTCTTATAATACAATCGCATTATTTTTCGGCGTACTAAAGAAAGTTCACCTCAGAGTTGGATGATTTTTAGTGTAGATCGGGTTTGGGACTATGATTGGCGTGGTTTGTGGTTAGGGGATTGCGTTTAACTAAAATTTTAGATTCCCCGAACTACATTAACAGTTTATATCCGCATTTTAGTGGTCAACCTTTTGTGGACACTGTCACGTGACAATGATAATTGTATATAATCCTACGATATTATCTCTTAGGTTGACGTCACGACAGTTTGGATTGATACAAAACTTTAGCGGTCATCACTTGTGTCTGTCGCATGTTGTTAAAAATAAATCCCGACCGAGAGAATTATTTTCTATCTCGATTGGACATATTTATCCAATAGTTGCTAGTCCTGACTAGGTCTTCGTTTAGTGCGCCGAGACGTTCAAAAACAAAATATCCTAATAGATAAGTTTATTCTGCTCGAGATAATCGGGTTATGTAAATCCCATTCGACGGATATTTCTTACTGTATAAAGTAACGGTACAGTCTTTGCACTTTACTCGCTTAGCACTTTATCACGTGACTTCTACGTGACGCACACATATGTACATTTCCTCAGATTAGAGTGGGTACTTGAGGATTCAAAACGTCCATTGTGAACATGTTGGAAATCAGAAACTGCAGATATTGTCTAGTCCTCTGGTCTAGTCATAGCTTATTTAATAGTGTTAAACACCATCACACTCAAGGATAATATAAGTCGTTGTCATGTGAGTGCATAGACTGTGATTGAATCTTGTACTATCATCACGTGACTATTTACACGTACACTATAATGCCACAGTTCAACCTATCTTTTGTTGCCGTTCATTTGATAAAATCCAACAGTATTATTTATGGTGGTCACTGACAGACTGAATAATGACGTTAAACAGTTTACTATTATGAAGAGGTAATGCAAATGTAATACTTGTGTATGCATTCATATATCTTTGAAGGGTTGAAATGCGTCATATTGTTTTGGCAGGTGTTTATTTTATTCCGAAACTTGATAGGAGTTATTGTTGAAAGTGTTAATTGTAACAAAAGTTGGCGTAGTTTTGCATCACTCTGATTGTATATATTTATTATGACGTCATAGGATGGTGTGATGGGTGTTCAAGTGAATGGCTAGCAGTCACATGACATTATTAGTCCCCGTTCGGACGAAGTCCGAAAACGGGGACTTATAATTCGGTCTCCGTCTGTGCGTCCGTGCGTCCGTCCGGAGTCATATCTCAGAATCCCTTGGACCGATTCCGTTCATTCTTTGCATGTGCCTAGTACTTTATGTGGGACATATGCACATGCAGTGGTTTAGCGATTCGATTCAAAATGGTCGACTGGCAGCCATCTTGTTTTTTGAAAATGTTGTATTTTGGACATGCTTTTTCAGTTTTCATTCAAACTTGGTACATAGATCATATATGTTAGGATACATGTCGATGACGATTTATTTCACATTTGGATCAAAGATGGCCGACTGGCAGCCATCTTGTTTTCTACTATATTTCCACAATTTATGTACCATTTTCATTCATATTTGGCACATTCATCATACATATCAGTGTGTTTCATAATCAGATCAAAGATAGCCGAATAACGGCTGTTTTTTTGCCATATTACTACTACGCAGAACACGTGTTTTGATGTAACTCAAGTTTCAAGGACACGCTCGCGACAACCCCTCCGCTTTAATATGACGAGCACAAAGAGAACTTTCAAAAATTTTACGGGGAATGTGTCATATTCAATGACTTGTTCATAATTATTATGAGATTACACGATTAACACGTACGGAACAGACTCTGTCACACCAAGCTATTACGCAAGACCCTAATTTGACGACAGAGTGTGATTACGTGTTGTCTTGGTTATCTGGTACACGATGTTTCATCGAAAATCCGTTACGAAAGTTGAATATATCGTTATTTTAATATCAAAATTCTTGATTACTTCAAAAGTTTGTTTTGTTGAAAAATTGCGATGCTCTTGAATCTTGTTCACTCTCCCCAATATAGTATGTATTTATTGTAATCATATTTACTAGTTGTTGGTTGTTGACGTAAAAGAAGTAAAATGGCGCGTCTCACTTCATTGATCAGTCTCGTCTTAATAAATTACTAATGGCTTTTGAAGGGATGTGGTCGTCGAGCCGCTTCCTGTTCGATATGGGACTCATAGCGACGTATACAACGCGTGTAAAATGCATTGTTTGTTTACATGAAAATCGAACATGCGCTGCGCGACGACCACTGCGCTTTAATGTTATCTAACAAAATGAATACATATCAAAATGTTATGAATTTGTACCACTACATAAGGAACAACAACATACTTTCGAAATAATTAGCCGCTGTAAGTGTTGACATTTGACAAATCTGATTAAAATCTTATGTATCGTACGGCGTTTTTTTTATATTTGTTGTTACATACACATGATTTGGTATTTTCGCGATTACCAAACATTAAATGAACTACCAACAAATAAAATTATATAAAATAAAATAAAATAAAATAAAATAAAATAAAATAAAATAAAATAAAATAAAATAAAATAAAATAAAATAAAACTAGGATTTTCTTTTAATAGGATTGTGGTAAAGATTAACTTATATTCTTAAAGATAAGTAAGAAATATACTTATTTGGACATAGATGATAACTTTGAGTATTAGGGGTCATTCACAGCTAATTCACACCAGGTGTGACAATTCCCGAGGAATTACCTGTATTACGATTTTTGTCGAGCGTGTAGGAAAAATATTGAGCAATGCCACACCTTATATGACATAGTAGACCCAAATGACTTCATTATTATATATGCAACTACATTTGCCATCTATCAATCTGCAATTAACTAAACTGAGCATAAATAAGTGGACGAACGTGTAAATTAGAGGGAGAGCAATAGCACGTACTGCCCATACCAGCAAATAAAATAGGGTCAAAAGATAGCGCATGACGTGGAGCGAATATTACAGAATATTACCGCAGCTGAGCAACAAAACACACAGAACCAGACTCCATAGTCTCCGAATACATGACAAAGTTAGCAAATACAGAAATAGACCTGTGGATTGTTTTGTCAATCGTTATCAGTCACTTAATTTGTGTTTTCGTTGGTCGTGTAAAACATTTGTGTGAATCAAACTCTCCCTTAAATATCCATGATGACCTCTGCTTTAGGAAAAACAAAGATTAGAACCAAACCCGACATGGCAACCACAAGTCCACGATGATGGACGTAAACTCGAAGCGGTGCTCGACACATTCCTAATATAAAAAAAAATGATTAGTGGACTTACATTTTTACGGAACACTATTCCATTTCTAGTCAAACAACTAATGTTCAAAATTGTTTTCAGATACAACAACAAGTTCTGAAATATATCCTTGTTAGACCAATCTTGCGTTTACTTTACAAACCACGACATTGTCTCTCCTGGCCCTGATGTCATTGCTGTACTGTTTTCATGACATGTGCAGGAAGTCGACGATGTTCGCCGTAGTATTGTTCCATTTGTGCCTTTAGAAATGACTTTGAATGGGTCGGCTAGATATTGTACACGTCACCGTGTTTTTCTGCTGGGCGTATCTTGCTGGACGAATGAACTCAATGGGACAGGGTATCTGTTGGTTGCTTATTAATACATAGACGTCTATGGGACAGGACGACTATGTCACGACTATGTCACGACTATGTCACAGTGCCTTATTCTTGCTCAATATAATTATAATGAGTATAGAATTGAAACAGATTGGTAATGCAGTGCAAACATATACCATTATATTTAATCATCCGTGCTTCGAAACCCTCAAAATCACTAAAGGAATCACCAGTTAATCTGACCTGGGAGTGCCGGGCAATTCTAGGGGGACTTTGCATTTTTTTGTGCACGGAAAAGGGGAGCCTAGCAATTTTTTCAACAGTGAAAATGGGGGGGGGGTCGGTAATTTCCTGGGTTTATTCACCTGAAGTGATGAACATACTACATTGAGAAAGAGATATTGTTATGTTACTATGAAATATGAAATATAAAACTTCATTAGTAAACAACAGTATAAATCTCTGTATTGTAAATGGCATAAAAATATACTTCAAATATTGAGGTCAGATTCAGAGAGGCCGAAATTGCTATAATTCATAATTCAAATTATAGATTCAGATGCCATAGATCAAGAGGTGACAGTGGCCAAGGTGAAGCAGAAAAAACAAATTCTGCCATAGGAGATTCCTTTGTTAGTAGATGGTGGCACTATCCATTGGGAAAAAAACAAAGAGGTTTGAGGGAATGAGCAAAGAAGAAATTGTAAATCTTTCTGTTGCTGAGTATGAAAAGAAAAGAATGCAGTACAATTAATGCATGGGAAGTAGCAAAGGAAGTGTGCCCCTGTATTGAATGAATTTATTAAAGCATACATTT